CTTGCAGTATGCAGTCGTGCGTTATCGTGGTGAAGAATTACGCCCTTCCGATTAATCAGCGCGAGTTCTTTTTCTCTTAAAGCTTGGGCTAACCTTTCCAATTGGGCACTATACACTGCACTTGTAATGGTTTGGTTAGATGGTAAAAGTTCATAATGAAGAATTCCTTTAAAATTCCACCAAACACACAACATCACTTTTTTCGCATGCAAGTCAGGTTTTGGCGTGGGCTGCGGAGCCTCATTTTTGTCCAACCATTGAGGCCGCCTTTTCAAATTAACATACAGCACCCATTGTCCATCTCCGGTAACAATTTGCTCTAAAAACGGCAAATGGTTTTGACGAGAGAGGAGCGAACTGCAAATTGTGACTCTTTGATTACGGTTGTTGTCGGTCAACTCATGAGGAACCCATTTTCCAAACTTTTGGACTTTGCCAAGTGCACGCAATTGATTGGAAGTTGTTTTTTGTGAACAATTTAAAGTTGTCGCAAGCTCTTGTTGGGTAATTTGAGGATTTTGCACCAAAAGAGCTTGAAGAGCTTCTTGATCAAAATTGGACACACGGCCTCGACCACTCTTGTCATCTAACGAAAAATTTCCCTCGCGAAATTTCTCAAACCAACGCTGGCATTTTCTGGCGCTAACTGCATCTTGACCAAGAGCACTATAGATGTTTTTTGCAGCCTCACTTGCTTTTCTTCCTAATTGGAACTCGTAAAGCATGCAGTGCCGAATATGCTCTTCATCCGCCATCTTCTTAGCCCTAGTTTTGCAACAAAAACCAAACCAAACACAAACTTTTTCAAGCAAAACTTGTTAATTGCACTTCACACGTTCTGTAGATACCACGTGTTTGAAGGTTATGTCAATACAAGTCAACGCCAAGCAAGATTTTAAACGAATGTTTTAAAACGACATTAATTATTACTAGACCCGATATAAAGATTGCCTTGATTCTTAGTGCTTCATATAGATGCTTAAAATTGTGAGTTTTTGAAATTGATCCTCTGATAATAGAAGAAATTGGGGTTTAGTTTTCTTAAGAGAATTAGTGCTGGGTATGGTTGGTTGGTTTATTTGGGTGAGGAGAAGATATAAATGTATTAGGAATAATCTCATATTGAGTGTTCCTAAATTGTATTTCCCCACTTTTCTTATAAAATTAGATGGAGCTTTTGCTGGAAACAAACATACTGCATTAAATATACTGCATTTCTCTGATTATAAATTAATTTTTTTTCACATTTTAGAGAAAGACCAAAGTATAATTTGGACTATAAACACAAAAAGTATACCTAATTTGGACTCTCCCTCCACAGTGTGATAACATACTACAACTGAAGAGATATAATAAATACTTATATAATTGACCATTGAACAGTGTGGCTTTAGGGGTACTGATCCCCACACAGTCAAAAATCCATACATAAGTTTGACTGCCCAAAAACTTAACTACATTCATCCCTCAGTATCTGTGGGGGATTGGTTTTCGGGACCCTCGTGGGTAGAAACCAAAATCTTAGGATGCTCAAGTTCCTTATATAAAATGGTGTAGAGCAATGGATAGACTTGGCTCTCCGCATTCACAGAATCTGGGGATGTGAAACATGGGGATACAGAGGGCCAACTGTATATTAATGAAAATGTTCTGCTTATAAGTAGACCCATGAGATTTAAAGCCATGTTATGCAAAGGTCAGCTGTAATAGCAAATTATAGGACAGTAAAATGAGAACGTTTGTCTATATTTTATTTTTAGAAACTTATGTATGTGTGTATGTATTCTCCTATACACACACATACATACTCAAGTTCATACACATACAGCTACATATATTCCTAAAGTTGCCTGATGTTCACATGGTCCTTTGCAAATACTTACTGTTAAATGAAGATGGTAATTTTCAGTATATGTGCTGCCGAAGCGAGCACTGAAGATGGTAATTTTCAAAGTGGATAATGTGAATAACTTAACAGTTACTTAGTACAGCATGCTAGGCATTATTCCAATTGTTAAATAAAAAACACTTTTAAAATATAGCAAGAGTTGCTTCCTATTTGCTTTATTATAACCTTTTATAACCTCTGGAATTAATTTTAGGGTAAAAGGCTGAATAGGAATCCTTTGCCAGTGATAAAGATAAGGAATTAAGTTGACTTTTTACTGTGCTGATAATCATCTCTGAATAAAAGTGGCCAGATTATATGTAGAGGAATTTATTCATACATGTTATTAATCCATATCATGATATAAGACAGAATTGAATCTTCTTGGAATTATAAAATCTGCAATACAAGTTGCTCATCTACTCTCCTTGTGTTTTCTCTCTATACCCCTCAAATTTATTCTCTATCAATATCATCTTTTACAAACACCTGAAGGAAACGGCTACCCATAAATCTTGTACCTAGATAAGTACCACATGTCATTTCTGGTATATTTTTGACTGGAGTTTTTCCACTTAATTAATGAAAGACAAATTTCTTTCTTTTTTTGTGATCTAGTCTCACTGGCTCTTCTGCCTAAAGGTTTGTTTATGTCTCTCTGTCTCTAATCATACTGGATGAAAAGTGTGTGCATCAAGATGGTAGATGCTCAAAAGTGTGGGAAATCAGGCACTTATGTGGGGAATATAAGTGTCATTGGATAACGTTTTGTAGTGCATTTTGGTAACATCTATCAAAATAAACAATGCACAAGTTCTTATATTTATATTTAGATATACCTGTTTGCTACATTACTTGCAGTAGGAAAATCCTGAAAACCACACATTACTGTACACTGGCATTCTTTGCAAACATTAGAAAAAATAAGGTGTATGTGTGCCTACAAGGGAATATAAGAGAGAGAGAGTTAGTTTGCTGGTACATGCCCCCTTTTTGGTTTTGTATGTTTCTGAGAATAGAAAAGAAAGTAGTGGTTATCTTTAGGCTTTGGAAAAGGGATTTCTTGTCTGGATTTGGGTGTCTATAATTTTGAATTATGTATACTATATGTATTGTTTTTAGTTTTTCAAAAGCATACATGAAGAGAGGTAGGTATAATTTTTTAACTGTTTCCAAAGGGACATAAAACTCTAGTTCTGGAAGGGACCTTAGAGATTCTTGGACAGTTTCCCTCAACTTAAGAATGAGAAAACTCAGCCTGGCCAGGCTGCTCGGTTGGTTGGAGCGTCATCCTGTGCACCAAAATGTTTTGGGTTTGATTCCGGTGAGGGCACGTACCTAGGTTGAAAGTTCAATCCTGTATAGTTGGGGCGTATACAGGAGGCAGGGGATTGATGTTTCTCTCTCACATCAATGTTTGTCTCCCTTCCGCTTTCTTTAAAGGTCAATAAATATGTATCCTCAGGTGAGGAAAGAAAGGAAAGGAGGAATGGAAAGAAAGCAATAAGGCAAGCTCAGATTTCGGAAAGTATCTACAAAGCTTGTGCTAGAGTTCAGGTCCTGAGGACTACAAAAGCTTAAGAATATATTGATTTGTTCTATTCTTAGTCTAACAGTTTATTTAAATGATGTCCGCTTCTTGTTGCAAAGAATTGATTTTGGAAGACCCAATAAAATGTTGACCTTTCTAAGTTCTTTTTTTTTTTTCTTTCTTTTTTTCAACATTTCTTCAAGTCACTATCTTCTCTGGCAATAAAGATAAAGTGGTAGTGGTAACTCTTACCCACTTATTGGACCTTTGAAGGCTCAATCCCCTAACAGTGAATTTATTTATGAGTTCTGTAAGTATTTAGAATTTGAAGTGATTTTGTGTTTAGAGTCCAAAGCTTCCCTTTTGTAAAATTGGCTTTACTGAGTTTTTGTTCATCTAATATTCATCTAATTTTTGTGACTTCAAAGTGAATTGCTATTTAAAGGCAAAACTTATTTTCTATCAATATCTTCTATAAAAGATGTTAGTATATTTTTTTAAAGGAGGAAAATTTATATATTGAGAATTTCTCAGTTCTTGAAAATATGAGCATTTTTTCTTTTAATTATAAGTTAAGTCTTTTCCTGGCTCTTTAATGCCAGAAACATTTTCTCTTTATTCAAATCAACTAATTGGAAAGTCATTCTAAAGAAATCTGTAGAAATGAGGCTGGTAGTTCAACATGGGATTGGACATCCACATTTCATTTAAAGAATATTTTTTATGGTTGATTGACTTTAGGGCTCAAGCAATAGAAACATTAATGTTAAGATTAGTTAGTTGTTGGACTTAGGATAAAAATCTATCTTTGCTTGTCCTTGCACTGGTATGGTGTGGTTGGAGCATCGTCCTATATACCAGACGGTGGTGGGTTCAATTCCTGGTCAGGGCACATACCCAGGTACAGGGTCGATCCTTGGTCAGGGTGCATATAGCAAGCATCTCACATTGATGTTTTTCTTCCTCTTTCTCTCAAATCAGTTTTTTAAAAAGTTTAAAAAATTACCTTTGCTTGTGAATCTACTATTTTAGAGATGGGGAATAAAATTTAATCTATAGGCCTCTATCAAAATGGATACTTTATAATAATAAAAGCATAATCTGCTAATTAGACTGCACATCCTAAGGACCTTCCGAATGACTTTCCAGACGACCTTCTGGACGAAGCCAGGGCTGCAAGGGCCAAGCACCTTGCATGAATTTCATGCATTGGTCCTCTAGTTTGGTAGTAATTTGATTAGGCTGATAAGATGAATCTTTGTTTATTGAAGGAAAAGGTTTTTAGGAAATAAAGAGACCTTTTCCCATCTTTAGGATCAGAGTAAATCATGTCTGTGCAGTTTTAATCAGTAACTTTTTTATTGAATTGAAAGGAAGAAAAGGTTATAGAGGGCCAAGAACAAATAGAGTGGCAAATTTGTGTTTGTAACCCTGTGTATTTAGGGATGAATCCAGTTTGTATAACCACTTTGCTTCTGTTGGAATTAGTTAGTTTGACAGTTGACTTAATTTGGTTAGGTAAGACTTTAAAGCTAGGTTGGAGGATGTCAGTGTTACATGTGTCTTCTGGTTTGTTTTCAGTATCCTTTCTGATAATGGAGAGAAGAATTTGGTTGGTCCATTTGGACTCTTCAAATTGAGTACCTATTGTGCCTCATCAAGTTCTTTTTCTTTTTTTTAACATTTCAAATCATTATAGAACTCAAATGTCCTTAATTACAGTTTGACTATTTTTCACTAATGCATTATCTTTCATTTACCCACATTGAAATTCTTGAGCCCAGCACCTGCATTTTTCAGTGTAACTATAGTGAGATAGTAGAATGCTTGGGTTTTGGTCTAAGCTCTGCTCTTGGCCTCCTGTGTATACTATATTACTTTGGGCAAGCCACTAAGCTGCTTTGGGATTCATTTTCCTAATCTGTAGAACAAAATCATTTGAGTATTCATTAAGTCTTTTTATATTTCTAGAATTATTTTACTGATTTCTTTTAAAATATATATTTATTGATTTTTTTTATGAGAGGAAGAGAGAGGGATAGAGAGTTAGAAACATCGATGAGAGAGAATCATCGATCACTTGCCTACTGGGGATGTGCCTGCAACCAAGGTACATGCCCTTGACCGGATTCGAACCCCGGACCTTTCAGTCTGCAGGCCGACGCTCTATCCACTGAGCCAAACTGGTTTCGGCGATTTTACTAATTTCTTTATTCACCAGATGTTTATGAACACCTTGTATGTGCTCTGAGTGCAAGTCCCTTGCCCTTAAAGAGTATTCAGACTAATAGCAAAGAAGTCCCTTCATTTTATTCATATCACTTCAGTCTTTTATTTTTGAAAAATTAAGTAGTATTAGCAAGTTTTCTTGATTTTTTTAATCACTCAATAGGGCATTTGTTAAAATTGTTGGTATTATTTACATCTCCATCTCCAAAAATGCCTTTATATCTACTTCTATTTTTCTATTTGTAAGCCAGTTTCTTATCTTAGAAAACAGATCCTGCATCCCCAGTCCCATTATGATGAGATGTTTTCTTTAATTGATAGATAGTAAGTTATGTATTATAGAGTAAAGCTTGGTGGTCAGAAAAACTGGTGATTTCTTTAAGGCAAATAAAAAATAATGACAGTCTAGAGACTTGATATTGTTTTTTAAAATAGAAGCATAAATAGATAAAATAGAAAAAATTAAAAAAAAATTAACAGTGGCTTTGTTTAAAAATTTTTATACCTAAAACAAAAAAGAAAATTTCTGCTCGTTGCTAAAAAGAAAAAGATCAGTGTGCAGCTTCTGACTTTGAATTGAGTATTATATTTACAGAACCCCCCACTGCCTACGTCCTGATTTTCAGCTTTCCAGGACCAGAATATCAGATTATAAATGCGCTCAGAAGAGATGATCAGGCTCTAGACTGGAAACAGTGTGGTGGATTAATTTACATAAAAATTCAAATAAAACAAATTCATAGAAGGTGTGGGTAGAACTACTTTTGACTGTAGTCAGAGTAAACTAGGTGACTTTTGAGCTAAGACCAAAATAACAAGAAGCAAGCAATGTATCTCGAAGGGTTTTCTAGGCTGAGGGAAAACAGTACAAAGGCCAGTGTGTTTGGAGTGAAGATGGTGGTGTAGAAGGGTAGGTAGTGGTGAATTTGGTATAGTGGGCAGCACTTATAGGGTCAGGGAAAGATATTGAATTTTATTCTAAGTGGTTAAAGGGAAGAGAGACATGATCTGATTTACTTTTTAAAAGTTCATTGTGGCTGTTATGTGGAGAATAGACTGCTACAGAGGAAGCTGGAAGATCAATTAGAAAACAGTTAACACTGGTTCAGGTAAGAGAAAATGGACAGAAATGGATAAAACTAAAATGGATAGATGTGTGGAATATATTAGGGAGCAGGAGAGCTGACAGGACTTGCTGATAGATCGGATATGAAAAGATAGGTTTTGGGCCCTGGCTGGGGGCTCAGTTGGAGCTTTGTCCCATACACTATCCCTGCTTCCTTTCTCTCTCTCAAAAAACAAACAAACAAACAAAAACCAAACAAAAAATCAGTCAAAAAACCATATGCTCGGATGAGGATTTTAAATAAAAATGGTTTGGGGTTGAGCAAATGGATAGAAGATGGTGTCACTCAGTATTTTAGTCATGTTAGATATCTGAAATGAGTATAGTTAAGTAATGATAGAAATTGTATTTTTAAAATCTGTACTCTTATGGCAAAAGAGAGAGATCTCTAGGGGGAAAAGAAAGACACTGGAGTCTCAGAATCTCAGACTAGAAAATTACTCTGGCATGTAAGAACAGAGCCATTTTATGTTTTTTAATTAATGATGATTAGGGACTAAAACATGGAAAAGAGTGCTAAAAGTATGAGGACCTGTGATTTGTGCCCAGGGCCCTGTCTTGAAAGCAGATAGGCAGGAGCCCGCCAACAGTGTGCCCAGGTCTCCGTTAATAACAGTGCATGGAATTCTTCAGAACAGAGAGCATGCTTTTCGACAGAATTGCCACTGGAAAATGAAATTGGAATTGGAAGCTGGGGTGTATGAATGTCTTCGTATCAGATATTTTTCAAATTCTGTATGTTGAGTAAAAGACTATCTGATCAAAGAATCACCTAGTCACATGAATTATAAAGTATTGGATTAGGAGTTGAAAGATTTAAGTTCTGATCTCAAACCCCTTAATAGCTGTGTGACCGTGACTGATTGTAACCTCTGAGCTTCTGTTTCCTTATTTGTAAAATACTTGCCCTGCATGCCTCACAGAGCTGTTTAAAATCCCAAATAAGATCATGAATGTCAAAGTACTGTGAAGACTGTGAAGCACTGAATACTGCTTGCTTGTGAGAGAATGCTTATATAGCTTAAAGCTTTTAACAAAAAGGACCTTGGATTTTTTTTTTTTTTTTAAAGAAGATCAGGAGGATGTGATGGGAGTGTATGGGTTGTACCTCTACTGTGACTCTTTTTAAAAATATATATATATTTTATTGATTTTTTACAGAGAGGAAGGGAGAGGGTTAGAGAGCCAGAAACATCGATGAGAGAGAAACATCGATCAGCCACCTCCTGTACACTCCCTACTGGGAATGTGCCCGCAACCAATGTACACGCACTTGACCGGAATCGAACCTGGGACCTTTCAGTCCACAGGTCAATGCTCTATCCACTGAGCCAAACCGGTTTCGGCACTACTGTGACTCCTGAGGTTATCTTTCTACCAGGCTATAGTACTCAACTGTACATACCTATTCTAAGAGGCTTTATTATTCTTAACCCAAGTGCCTTGTGAAACAGAGGACTCCAGATACACTTAAATGCTATAAAGATGATAAAATGTACAAGCGAGTTTGGTTTTGCTCTTCTATTAGGTAGTTAGAACTTTATCCCTAGCTATAATATCAAAATGAAAGGCAGGAAAATATGGTTAGTATTTTTACTTTAGCTTTTCCCCCTTTACTTGACCTTTGGGCTGTGGAGTGGGATTTTGTTTGGTTCACTTGGGAAGATCTTTTCCTTAATAAGTGAAATTTATCAACATGCCGGAGGCTTGCTAGCAGTTGAAGGCAACTGTTGGTCAGCAAGAGGATGGGAGGGGAAAAACAGGTTGGGGTAGGAAAAGTAAAGGAATAGGGAGGAAAAACGCATTTGAAAAAAGAGAAAAAGTTTAAATCACTTGAGAAAGTCTCAAGTTTTTTAAAAGATACGAATTAAAATTTGAGGTCATTAAAGAAGTAGGGATGGTCCTTAGAGAGGGGCATAAGTAAAATTAGGAAAAGATGGTGAACAAGTCCATAGGAGGTTAGAAGGTAGAATAGAACAGAGGTTCTCTAGATGTTAGAAGGTTAGAAAGCAAAGAGCAGGCACTCTGTGGAAACATGGTTCCTTATGAGGATTTACAGCTTCTCTGAAGATACGCTGGGCTACTATGGTAGTATTATTTTTATTTAAAATGTACATTTTTACTGAAGTATATGAAGTCAGTGTTTACTCACTCCCTTTTCAAGTAACCCTAGTGTTATGTAATTCCCATCAACCAGGAAAAATATTTTACCAACAAAAGCTGGACTTTTCATTATTGAGAAGATAAGGGCTGGATTCGTTGGCTTTTTTTGTTTGTTTGATTCCGATTGCAGTATTGTCTGTTTGAAATATTGCTCTGATGTCGATTTTTCAAAGCTTTCTAATTTACTTCTTCCTCTGAATTCATTGTTTTTGAAAAGCTTTTTCAAAAAACCAAACAAGTAGAGAGATTGTGACAAACACCTTCAGCTGAAGCCCGCCCCCCCCTTTTTTTTCACTTTCTCAGTTCTTTTTCCACCCTAGCTCCCCAGAGACAACCTGTTACCATAAATTCAGTGTGCACCCCTCCAGCGCAGTGTGTGTGAAATACATAAATAAATTCTATGGAAGTCATTTTTCCCCTTTATTCTTGTTTTTCAACATCTATTCATCTGAAGATATATAGATTGAGGTCCCTCATTTTAGCTGTTTTATTTTTATTTCACTGTATAACTGTTTCAGTTTCCCCAAATCCCTTTGATGCGTATATAAATTGTTTTCATTTTTTTTTGCCATTAAAAACAAAACTCTAGTGAATAAAAACCTCATACATATCCCTTATGGTTTTCTTCTCCCCTCCCCCTCCTTCCTTCTTTTGGTTGTTATTGCTTTGGTGTTTTGATTCTGTTCTAAGTATTTTTTTATTTCAATTCTTCCACTTGGTTTAGCACTTTGAGGAGAAGGAGGGATCATTTGAGGGAGAGGGAGTAATGAGGAGAATCTTCCACAACTTGGAATGCATATCTCTTTTAAAAATTAAATTTATTTGGGTGACATGGTTGATAGGATCATATAAGTTTCAGGTGTGGATTTCTATGTAGGAAGATCTGCATATTGCACTGTGTGCCCACCACCCAACAGTCTTCTTTTACTAGGGCCAGAGGCTCTGAAAATTTCATTTTGGAATATGATAAATTTGGCAACCCTTGCATGCTAATATTTTATGATTTTATTGTCTCATTAGTAGCACTATGCACGAATTCATGCACCAGTAGCTCAGTGACGCCCTTTTGTAGCTCTCTGCCCACTGCTCCACCCTCCTGTAAACCCCTCCCCCCCTTATAGC